CCCCAAAACCCCAAAACCCCAAAACCCCAAAACCCCAAAACCCCTTTTAAGATTTTTTAATAAAAAATTAAGATGAGATTCACCCGAAATACCCTTCCACTGCTCGCTTTATTCCTGATCTGAGGTTATTTATACAGGAGAGAACAAATTGTGAGAAAATTCAGCTTTGATGTGAGGTCAAAACACATGCCAGATTCGTATCATACATTTGGAGCATCAGCAAAACTTAGGCATAAAATTAAATTGATCCCACCGGTTGATCTGAGATATGGAGGGGTCTTCCTAAGTGAAGAATTTTTGTCAAGTTCCTTTGCAATTGACTTTACTTTCAAGATAAACTCTCTTACAGAAAACTCTGACGGATTTGTGTTCTGGTATACACCAGAAATACCTACGTTTGATTCCAGGTCAGGGAGAATTCATGGGGTTGAGACAAATACTAGAGGTTTCTCTATATGGGTCCACCGAGACCAAAGGAGGAGACGAGGAACAGGGTAAGAGATCCGTTAAAAATGTCCATAATGTTTCATATAGATGGAGAGTCTTCGCCCATTACGATGATGGCAAAGGATTTCCACTAGAGAAAGGGAAAATTTTACCAGACAATTCATGTACATTTATGCTGGATCCCACTAAAGCTCCAGTAAAAATGAGGTTTGAGAAAGTTGCATCCCAACTAAAAATATTAATCACAGATGATAATGCAGAGTCTGATAATTTAAGATCTTGTATGAACACCTATATTTCAGGAATCCCAAACCAAGGTTTTTTCGGCTTTACTTCGGGAAATGCGAATGGAGTACTCAATGATATTGATATTCTTAAAATTGTTGTTGCTGATCTTGAGAAAAGCTCACTATATTTAAAAACTCAAGAAAATGAGCCGGATGATGTCTATTTCTCTTTATCTGATGAACAAGAGAAAGTATATGAGGACGATCCTCTATCTGCTCAGGATATCTTCCACATGCAAAGAAAAGATGGAGAATACTCTGATGTAGGTAATGGAATAAATTTTGAGACAACTGATTCTCAAGAAGAGGTATTATACAAAGTCTATGAGCAGCTTTATCAATTCAACATCAATATGAAAGAGATGATTGAAGAAGCTAGAAATCAGCTGACAAATCCAAATTCAAGACTTGAGGAAACTACTATCCCAAATTTGATGAAAGATTTGAAATATACTAGAGAGGCTCTGGATTATATGGCTCAAGGTATAAATACTCTAGATAAGTCAATGAACTACATTGCTAGTGGGAAATATGCCGAAGAGGAGGCTCAAGCACAACAGCAGGCTCGAATAGCACCCCTTCAAGAAGCAGATGCTGTTGGTAATTAGAATTATAAATCTATAGATCGGTTAAATATTAAGCTTACGGAATTAGAAAGGAAATTTGAAAGTCAGAAAGGAGCTCTAGAAGCAAGGATAGTTGATATCAAAAAGCAAACACAAATACATAACAAGGAAATGTCTAATAGAGTAAAGAGGAAGGCCGACGAAATCGGTAAAATTGCAACTAATGAAGAATCAAATGCATTTCTCCCAATCCTGTTCGTCTCAATCCTTCTACTTGTCTTATTCATCTATGTGAACCGTAAGACCCAGCAGAGTCGCAAGAAGCATATTTTGTAGCTATAATTTCAATTTTGTAAAAATAATAGGGGTTTTGGGGTTTTGGGGTTTTGGGG